AGCAACATTATCTCCATGATGGTGGTTTTCATAATATTCTGTACTGCCAGGAAATTTTTAATTATTCACAATTGGTCCTTCAGGATGCACACAACAGTGGCTTTTCACTGGCGAAGTAATACGTGGTGGAGAGAAGCATGAGGGTATCTTAATTGAAAAAGAGCACGAAAGAGGGAATAAAAAAATTCATATTTCATTCTCTGGCAAATCTTTATTCTTCTGCGTAATTTTCATGTTTCACTGTGACACTACGGGCTGCCAGCATTCTGCCAGGAGTCACGTCTAAGGAATATCCCACATACATGGCGATGATCCACAAAAGAACGTGGCCACGCACGTTAAACATAAATTATACATTTCTCCATGCCATAACAACTGTATAATGTGTAATTTGAATATTTATACCGTTTCATGTGAAGCGTGAGGAGTGAGTGAAGAGATAAATGGGTGGAAAAAATCTCAATGCCCCAGCACTCTCACGGTGTACATCCTTCCATGGCGATATAAAGAAAACAGTGAAGGAAGCAACAGAGAAGTAATTCTGCAGTACTGTGAGCTCCCTTTGCCGCGCCATCGCGTCGAACTTCCCATTCAATATAACTCAATTCACGGTTGACAGTGACTTTTCCTTTAGTGTAATTTCAATTCAACTTACATTCTTCTCACTCCCACCTCACAACTCAAACTCATCTTTAATAAAAGTCATTTCGTCTCTGGCACACGAGACATGTTCAACATGAAATCAATTTACAACCGAAATCTCATTTTATTTTATTCGAGACGCCATTGCCTGCCACCACCGTCGTCTCATTGACACCATTCCCAGGATTTCACTCCGTCGTCTTCCTGCCAATCCCCGAAGTAAGACGCTTGCTGCTGTCGAGGGCGCACCACTCGGAGGGGTGACCAATTGGGGAGAAAACTGGCGTACGTGGACAAATTTCCTAATATTGACCTATGGTCTCTCCGTTTAAATCGAAAATCAATCGAAAACATGGGACTAGAGAGTGAATTTGGAAAATTAGATATGACAGTTGAATATGTTATGACAATATTCTGGAGAACAACTTTCTCGCACAGCAGAAGCTCCACGACATTGCGCATATGTCACAATAAAACCCTTTCAAGTCTCCGTAGATTCTTAGAACTGTAACACTTTGTATGTCATCCAAAGAATACTTTGATGTAATAGATTTTTAACTTGATATGTTTGACATTCTTTTATTCTCTAGTCAGTCTTTCAATGATCAAGCAAGAGGCAAATGTGTATGTATATTTTGGTCCTCACTTAGCTCAATTGTCTGCCTTTTTATTGTACATATATAACAAGTTGCTCAGTTACACGATGATTAGATTTGGGTTTATTCAAAGGATTTCATAAGTGCAGAGCTCCAGTGTGAAGAGATGTTTTCACTGGCTGTAAACCGGGGAGAATACTTGCGGTTATTGAAAATTAAATTCACACAGAAGTGGCACCAAAATGCTTGCAATGGAAGCTCCTTCACAAAATGCGTATGTAAGTGATGTGAGTGTGTGTGCTGTATATAGAAATGCAAATTAAATTTCTTCCACCGTAAACAGCATATTATATTGTAGTAATTTCTGTATGTTCTCAACCACAGCTATCTCTAGCTTAACTTTCCCTCCTCGCCAAGCCAAGATTATTCACGCGTGTCCCAAGAATTTGCGAGTCTGTTTGTTTTGAGGTGGATGGAGTTGGGCGAAGATTAAAAGTGGCTTATCGGCGTTGATTCACGATGTACACGTCATCATGAAGTGGAATTAATAAACTACAACGCGTCGTACACTAAAATTTCATTACACTGCATATTTTATTGACATTAATAACATTTACCACCTCCGTGACGAGCATCTTCGGGAGTTTGGGAGCCTGAAAAAGGACTGTGGATGTGGCTGGCATAGAGGATGGGAGAAGCACACCAGCAACAGGCAACTTGTTGGCTCTGGATGACACAGTTTGGGGAACGCCAGAGAGAGGGCTTACAGTGTGTGGTATAAAATTATAAGTAGACGCAAATTAAACATTAAATTGGAATATAGCGAGTAGACTATTTTGAGGTGAATGATAGGGGATTTTGCAGAAGCTTAGTGAAGTGAAATTGCTCTTTGGAGAGCATAATATACTATGTGTACCTACTTTAAATTGTTACGAAGAGCAACACAACATTATGTCGTGAGAAGCATGTCGCTGTTAGTTCACTTTTCACAGTATGGGGCAAAATTAAGTATATATTTCCACCCTTGTTGCCAGCGAATTTTAATTTACTTGCAAAGAAAAAGTTCTCAATTATTCCACCCCACCGCCCACACTCTAGGGTGTTTCTCAGAGACAGAAAAACAATTTATTTAGAATGAAAATGAAAAAATTGCACTCCAGCAGTTTTCTACAATTTCCACCAGTCCCATTGAGACTGCGAAGCAAAGAAGAAAACACTCAACATTTCTGTCTATTATTCACCCTCATTTCTGGCTATTGAAGGACCTGCAGAGTGGAAGACGTTGCTGTGGGAAGACAAAGAAAGAGCGGAATAACGTGACAAAATCAGAGAATGAAGATGAAATCCTCTCATGACAAATATGGGTATTAAAGTGAAAAATATTTCTAGCATTCCCCCCCTTAAATACATGTCACATGCACATTGTCGCGAGGGTGCGTTGTTCAACCCCAAATGCTTGGCGGCTTTGTTGAAGTTGAATTGAAAATCGCTTCAACGCGACGTTGAGTGGTTGTGCGCAACTAAAAAGCGGCAATATGTGGTGAAATATGAAAATTGAGACACGCTGCGATGCAGAAGAGTTGATATGAATGTATTGAATCTGCAATCATAACTACAGTCATTGCCCCGCTGTGAAGCACTTTTCCAAGGCCCTGTTCCCTTATGAGCAAAACCCTGAAAATCACAAAACCGGGAATCTGAAATGGAATTGAATTTTTGTTCAAATGTCTGAGCATCCCTTTGGCTTTGGCACAATTTCGACTTCGCCATGGAGGAATGTGTATTGAAAAATAATCCGACAACGACGAAAATCCTCCCCGGGATTACAGTCGAAGCACAAAGAGCACGGAGGAAGCCAGTGCACATTGAGATGCAGAAGGATGGAAGGAGAGAGGGAATACGGAAAATCACTCTCCAATCATCAGACTCAATTTACCACGATATTAATTACTTTTCTGCGAGTTTCTCTCTGTGGCAAAGAAATATAGTGATTAATTGCCTGTTTTAATAGTGGAGCAACGGTTTTATAGATACGAAATTTCGCAAAGCTCAGCAAGCAATATGTTTTGCTAGAAATTTTCCTTCCATTTGCAATTATAATTTTACGGTTAAAAAGCGCTGTAAAGTGTGTAAAAGTGGAATTTTTGACCGTAATAATATGGAAAATACAGTCTTTGCTAATTAATTGGGGAATGTTTAAGGAGCAGATGAAAGAAACTTTTCATTTCTAGTGCCATTTGCAGAATTTTCCAAAGTGCTCTTCATTGAGAGTCTGTTCAGTTTTTTTTTCCTGTATAAATGGGAAAAGTGAGGTAATTTCGGTCACGGCAGTGAGCTTTAACTTGAAATTTTACGATAGTCTTGATGATAGTTAGGAAAACTACTTTTGGTCAGAGTCGAAATTTCAAGATAATTCAAAAATAAATTTCTTACAGGAAATTTTACCTTAGTAGTAATTCAGATGACCAACTGTGTGGATCAGAAAGTCTCACAATTTTTTTATTTGTATCTCATTGTATCAGTAAATCCCATATTTTAATTCTGCTGAAAGAGTACAAATTGCTCAAATCGTTGTCGGCAATTTCGTGTTGAAACTCATGGTGCGCAATAATTGATTGAAATGTTGCATCGAATCAGACATAAACTACCTCATGATGATAAAGAAAATTGATCAGCCTTTGTAATCCTTGTCGCATGGCTTTTTGCGATTGATAGCGCGGGAGATAAACAAAAAAGTGTGGCGATATGTTTTACAGTATTCAATTGAAATGCACCCATCAGTGTCAAATTATCATAAATCACGTGGGGCGCGTGGACCCGACGGATTAATCCGCTTAGTGCGGCGGTTGGGTGTGGGTGACCGTGTCCATTGCGTGACTCTCAGCAAAATGCCATCGTGCAGATATCCGACACGGTGACGCGTGTGAATGGACGATGACACGAAATTATTTCGATAAACATGAGAGTTGCGGCAGCCGCCATGGATGGTGAAAGCTCAGTGAAGCATAAAGCCCAAAATATGTGTGACAATTCCGTGATAGAAATTTTCAAGCGTGTGCTTTTTCCGCGGAAATCACACGCGGCATATCAGTTTTCACTGTATACGCTCGTTAGGATGACTCCTTTTCCCAGCTTCCAGCTCGCGTGATAATTTTTCCGAGTGAATATGGAGCGGTAATTAATGGAATGTGTGTGCTCACTCGAAAATACATTTGATATCATGCCTCGTCATGGCGTACACGCGATTTGCACGAGCGGCTGAAAATTCTGTGAAGCTTAGGCCAATTCATCCTCTGACGTTTGGTTACTTTCAGATCCACCCATTCTCCCCCTCGAGGGTGGTTCTCGCAATCTCGCGCTGTTTTCACTGGAAATGAATGATTACAAATTTAATCTTGCAAAGCATAAAGTTTAATAATCTCGCTTCGGGAACAAATGTCAAACATGTATGAACCAAAGAGATTCTGTCGATAATATATTTGATATAAATTTAGATTGAATCTTTCTGGAAAGGGGAATTCTTGCTGATATTTACCACATCTGAGTTATTTTTATTGAGGAAATAGACTTAAAGAAAATGTTACAGTTTAAATTATAGCGATCGCCTCCTTCCTATTTTTCTCATATATCCAAAGTCCTAAGTTTTTCTCATGTGAATTCCTTCTTGATTGATTTTCAATCATTTTTCTTCGTTATTTCTAACTTTTCACCTCGTACTTTCTTCTTTCTTCCTCTTTCTCGTGCTCATATGTGGACACAAAGGAAACACGGGACTCGCAGGACTCAATGTGGACCAAGTGCCTGAACCAGACTTCACAGAACCAATTGAGAACATCACAGCTCCCGTGGGACGAGAAGCCATCCTCAGCTGCTCCGTGCAGAATTTAGGTGGCTACAAGGTAACACACATAAACTCCTCATATTCCCGTCCAAAGCACACGTAAAAGTCGATTTATAAGTTTTCCTGGGAGGAAATGGAGTAAAATATTGAAAATGCATGCCATAACATTTCACTGACACTGTGTTGGTTTACCTTCACATCCTTTGCATACACACACATTGAAATTCCATCGGAGAGCAGCAATTTTCTCTTCGTTTGCAAAACATGTAGTAAATTATGGTTTTGAGATTGAATAACTTCACCGCCGGAGTGGAGAAAAGTTCCGAAACATCGTACATGATTGCAAAGAAATGATATTTTACAGAAGTTAAGAAAATTTCACAAAATAATTCATCTTGACACATTCTTACCGTGTTTCACTTTAATTATTAATAATTTATTTTCCTGGGGAGAAATTGAAATTCCCTGAAAAGCTATAATTTACGAAGTTCCAGTTAATATCGTGCCGCTTGAGAGAAAGGGGCAAATAATTTCACTAACATGAGAACATACACGATATATTATTAAATTTCTTTGTGATTCTTCGAATTTTGTATGAAAATTTGATCATGTGGAAATTTTGATGAATTGTTCTTGCGAAGAATTATTTTGCCTACTTCATTACCCCTGAAAAGCTTCCCTTTCCACTTGGGAGTCGATGAAAGCTGCCGAAAGGACTTTGAATGAAATTGAGAGTATGAAGCGGAAAATTTATCGGTCAACAATTATTGGATTTATTCGTTTGATTAAAAGGCATAAGGACACGGGCTGTGTAGGTCAGAATGGGTGTGTTAACGCCATGATAGGCAACTCCATCTAGCGCGGGGTGTATTGGAAAGGGGTGGGATGTGAAGAAAATAGTCCCAGAGGTTTATTGTTCGCCACAAAATTCAGCAGTCACAGGGCTGCAGGATATAAACAAACCATGAAATCATTTATGGTTGGAAACCTCGACCCTCAATTAATCTTGCACGCCGGTCGGCTTTTAGGGAGCCTCGCATGTGCCCAGGAGCCAGTGAAGCCCTGAGGTGACAGTTTGAAGACCATAAATTAATTTCACGATTTATAATGTGGATGCCTATGGCGTTCATGGTGGCTCTGTTCCCTGAAGATGACTGTGGGGTGGGTCTTCTTGCGGTCGTTGCAGGTTGGCTGGATGAGAGTGTCCGATCAGACGGTGTTGGCGCTGCAGGGGCGCGTGGTGACGCACAATGCCAGATACAGTGTCATCCACGAAGACATGCGGACGTGGCGTCTCAAGATACGGCAGCTCCGAGAATCTGACCGGGGGTGCTACATGTGCCAAATCAATGCTAGTCCAATGAAGAAGCAACTCGGATGCATAGACGTCTACGGTGAGTGCCAATCAATATCACGAGGGATTTTATACATTTATTTATTATTCAAAAATTTACTATACACAGCGCACAATCGCATCACATAATTTCTGTCCCTGACTTTATTAACCCAATTAATTTCTACCATGCTTACGGAGAAAAAAAAGTATTTATATATATTCTTCCTTCCCGTAATATTGAAACTCATTAGTTGTTGCCGCGCGGATCAAAATATCTGCTGCTTTAGGCTGTCTCTATATTAAGTATGGTTAATGAATTAAAGAGAAGTTCCATCTCAGATATGACATTTCGATATTTTAATGACGCAATCTGACATTATATTTATGATCTCTCTTGTCAGCTTTAATGGACTTCTTCGGTTAATGCGAAACTATATTAAAGTCATTTCGCAAGTACAATCTCCCACAGCTTTTCACCATATCATTTTTAACACTTTACCATTCATGCTCAATTTAATCTTCTCTATTTTAATGTGAAAATTATAGTTGAGCACGGGAAAGAAAGACTTGGGGGTTTGTGTCAACTCATCCATTGCACTTCTACTCTTGAAGTTTTATCCCCACAAATGATGGAGTCGTGATAAAACGAGGCAATTTGATAGTTCCATAAATTCATTTCATGCTACACTCGAAAATTTATAGCCCCCGAGACTTTTTGTATAGATAACTTAATCCGCACATAGCACACATTAATTCCGCCTCAGTTGGATGATGACAAACTATGAAGCAAGAGGGAATCGTCCCGGAGGGGCTGAGGTGGGGAAAAAAGTGAGTTATATTTGGGATTCGAATTACAAACTCCACTTCATATTCAAATCATACAATGTTTATGGTTCTGGCGCGGCTGGGGTTGTATCTGCGAAGTTAGGTGCTTAAGGCGAGGTGAGATCTGCGGCGGAATCGCGCTTAGTCCAAGTGGGATTAAATCATGTAAATTTCACGGGGCTGAGTTAATGCTGTAAGTGAGAAGGAGTGTTTAGAATTGTTGTTGGGGTTGGGCGACAGGTAAGCTTAAGGAACTTGTAGAGCATAGGGTCAGCGCGGGAATTTGCAAACAGGCGCACTGATTAAGAGCAAGGGCTTGAGAGAGAGTGAATGTATGGGTGTAATTTATAGGTATAACCCTATACCTCAGGGTTGAATGTTTGTACAAGTTATGCCATCGACTTAGTGCGTGACGGCGAAGAATTATGGACTTGGGGTGGTGGCGGATGAAAAAGAAAGGGTAAGATGCGATAAAATTGAGGTACTTGTGTGAAAATTAGATACTATTAAATTTTATTTATACACATTCATTCTCATCTATTGGAGGGCTCTTCGCCGTGCTTCGCCTCCAATACACTACATATCTCAGTGTCGAGGGATAGAGAGAGTCTTGATATATCCCGGGGCCTTCCAACTATGTGTATGGTTGGAGAGGAGGCAGGAAATTTCGTGTCCTCAAGATGATATATCGATCGTAGATGTAAATAGTCGATAAGAAGTTGACTTCATACAATCGCCGTGAGCGTCTCTCCCAATAAATAACACCCGAACAATTCACAGAGCCGAACAAAAAGGAAACGGAAGGAAATTGAGGCAATTTATTGGGAACCTTAAATTTTCACTGTTCACGCAAGTGCCTAGACCGTGTTGACAATTTAATATCTCGAGGGTCGCCGTCACTTTTCCTATTGCCATGCTTTTGTTTAGTTCCACCGCACAACATGCGCCCCACTCCTTAGGGTGGCGAATGCCAAGAACAAGGAAGGAAGAGGTGAGACGAGGAATGCCAAACAGTCGGCGGAAACCAAAACCCGGGGGTGGACGTTTTTCCGTTTTTCCTCTTCAGTACCATAGGCAAAATTTGATATGATCGTGTCGCTGAATTCTGAGGAAAACCGTCTTTTTGTCGCTCTCCATCTGGATGTCCCTTTTTTCCTGCGTAAACACTGGGTAGAAACACTTTTGATACGCTTTTTCCCTTCCTTTCGCATGACAAATTCATTCTAAAATCCATTTACGAGATTCTTTAATTTGTCTTCACCCTCTTTCCTGTATAAATTTCTTTTGTACACTCTGTTGAATCATCAGGGAAGTTCTTGTGAAACCCTTACTCGTATCTACAAGAATTTGTGGTATTATGAGAGTGGTTAATTAATTCATATTTGATTTTTTCTCAGAAGAATTTTTGGCTTGCTTTCACTGTGATGTTATGTCACTTGAGATGCTTTTTCTTCAGAATATGTAAAGCGATTAAGTGAAATCAAAATCATTGAGTTTCTCTGTAAAGTGTTCCGAGAAAAATCTTGATAGAAAGTTGAAAGAACTGTTTAGGTTCTTCTTTTAGGCATTTGACTTTTATGTTATCTTTTCTAGACTGGATTTTCTCTGAATTCATTTAAAGTAACACATTTCAAGCACTCCTTCCTTGGTAAGAGGATTCGCATGATCTGTTGTACTTATAAGAATGCCATTAAAGGAAGTTTTTATCCGCTTTCTGGAATGAATTTGGTGAAATCAAGCAAATCTCTGGTGAATCCCAAAAGCATTTCATTAAGCAATGCTCTTGTTTAAAATACCCAGTTGTCATTCCCACTACACTGGCTCCATATGAAGTGATCTTTTCCAGACCATTTAGCATTCTATTGGGAATCTTTCCACCATGCGCGTGTGTTTGCCACGCTCAGTGATTTACATATTCATTCCGAAGAGCATTGAAATGCTTGTCTCTGCTTTTGTTCTTGTTTCTAGACAAATGACGTGTAGCAGAAGTAATTTGTATTTTTTGCATGAATACAAATCACTGTGGGTTAATTTCAGTATCCAATTACTGTCGTTCAGGCACGTGCCGAGTATCACTCAAACACTCCTCTCATTATGATAATTTATGATCTATTTTTGTCAGTGCTCCTGCACGTGTTCCTCGAAGGAAGGCGTGCGAAATCCGGATTCTGCGAAGCTTTAAGCTTATGTGCGGTTTGGGGATATCCTTGAGGAATGAGACACTTTATTGCGACCTTCTCCGGTACCTTTTTTTCCCCAATAAATATTGTGTCATGAAAAATCAATTTCACATTATAATATTCAATCTCTCGGGGCGATTTTCCATGCAAATTATCGTCATATATGAGGGCGTGTGTGTGAAAAAAGGTGTGTACCATGAAGAGGTGTCTTGCTCATGAATATGGAAGAATTTTGCTGGGTGATTGTGTATCTTGAGCACGTGGTGGCATAAAAGTTTTCTTGTATAGGGAAAGAGACGCTAAAAGCACTTCATCCTTCGGAGCTCCAAACATGACGCAGGAATAGCAGAAAGGAGATCCTTCTGACAAACACTGAGCGGGAGGGTATTATAATAACATATAAAAATAATCTTCTTCAATTTAGACACCATTTCTCTCAGGTGCTGTCATGTTTCATAAAGGTATCAGAGACATTCACTCCTTAAGACTTTCTCCTCTATCATCCGCTGTAAATTGACAGTGATAGAGAGGGAGTGCGGAGTGAAAACAAAACTATATATATTTTGCATCTTCGCCACTTTGACATGTATCATAAAACTCGACATCAACAGAGTGGAGAGGTATTGTCATCATGGTTGTAATTTTATGCGACACGGAATCGATAAAATATGTATTAAAATCCATGATTCAATCATGCCCAGGAGAAATTCTCACCCTCTTTCCATCTAAGCTCCATGAATCCCCGCAGAAGGATGCTACGCTGCTGTAGCTCCTTTCGCTTTCATCTCCCTTATACTATATGTATACTTTTTGCAACACTGGCGCGGAGATTAATCAGAAACGTGCCATCTTCCACGTACAGTGAAAATTTTTGTGATCCATTTCACGCAGAATTCAAATTTATTTCATTCCCTGTGAGTGACACTAGGATTTACATGGATTACAATGCTTCAGCAAAAAGTATGAATTGAATGAAAAATCATGGCATTTTTGGCAGCGCAAAAAAATCAGCAATATAATTGAGCAAAAGTGCTTGTGTTTTTAATGGCATATATGTCATATTTGCACATTTTTCAGTCCTTATCGTGCTCTATTTGATGCTCTATAAGTGGAAATTGGATCACATTTGGCACCTTCGAGTGCCAGGACACTCTATTCAATTTCCTGTGACAATTTTCGCTGTACAGAAGATCAATTGCGATTGTACGCTGTGTCTTGTGCCATGGGCGAGAAGTGTAATTCGAAAGTGGGTGGGAAATTAGGCCCACATGGTATGCATGGTATTATACAAGGTATTATGTGGTGAAAATTGAATTCTATGTGAATGTGTGATATGGCTGTAAATGAAATTCATGGTGCAATTTAATTCAATAGTGCCGCCGGACATAAATGACGAAGAGTCATCGAGCGACGTGACGGCGCGCGAGGGTGAGGACGCCACTCTGTTCTGCAGTGCCAATGGCCACCCTATGCCACGTATCACGTGGCGGCGAGAGGACGGCGCTCCGTTGCTTATCAGACGTAACGAGACCATCGCCAGAGGTAATTAATATTTTTACGCCACTGAATTAATGCCACGAGGCAAAAAGGGATTCTATCGGTTGGCGATGTCTCTTTAAGTTCAGTGAAAGAAGCTGAAATTCAAGCAAATGCTCTACATAATGTTTGTGACCCAATTCTAAAAAAAGAATTGAGGAAATAGACTGAAACATTTTTGACTTCTGGCCATGGCCAAATATTGAGTATTTATGTAAGGTTTCTCTACCTTTGAAGCACACTAAAAGCCCTTAATTGCAACGTATTCAAGCAATACATGTAAAGCAGTGTGAAAATATTAAATATAGTTGATGAAGGTAATTTTCCGAGCTCTTGGTGCTGGCTAAATGATGGGAAGTGGTCCCAGACAGGGGAGTCCCAAGAGTTTTTGGGGTGCCAACATCCCTCTGGCGATACATCTTCTCCAGATGACGAGAGGAGAGGCTCCTCGAGAAGGTTCAATTCGCCATATCTGGGAATTGTGGGCGGGAAGGTGGTGAGAGTTTCAGCGTGTGACGAGGCAAAAAAGGGAAATTTCTGCTAATGAACTACCCTCATCAATCACATCTGGATAACAATCTATTATTTGATTAATCACTCTTTTCGGGAAGTGAATGGTGAACGTCGATTTTGAAGAATTTGCGCTTAAAAGTGGCGCTTCGTGCAGTGGTTTTTGCCAGCGGGGAAAACACTTCACTTGCCATTTAATCTTGCTCAATCGTGTGAATGATGCAAAAAGTTTCCCGGAGATGTGAGTCTCCGCAGCAAATGTGTGATGTAAGTGTGAGAATGGCGATGGTTCCAATTATACATTGAAATTGCCAATTTGTCACCATGAGTTTAGGCGTCTTTACTCGCTCCTCGTCACACCGTGACACTGTGAGCGGCTCAGGGTGCTTGGCGCATACCAGAGGGCCTAGTTTGACTACGTCTTGGCAACCTCCATGACAAGCCATCCATTCGACAGTCGCGTTGAGGCTTTTTTCCTGCACTCAAGGAGTGCGGAGTCTCTCAACGGGAGCTGCCTTGTCGCACAGAATCCGACAAGGCGAATGGCATGCCGTCGGAAGACACGCAGTTGGAAAAAGTCAATTTGTATTCGGAGGCTAATGCTTAAGCCCCTGTTAAACTTTTCACCATGGAATTTATGCCGCCACCGCTGTCCCATCCTCAATGGAGAGTGGCTGACAAAGAGAGGGTGGGACCGGCGCGCTGAAGAGTTTGTGGAGGACAAGAAGTGCCTCTCGTGGAGGGTGCCAAAGGGAAGCTTCAAACTCCCATGTGAATGGCACATAATTTGATTCCACAACTCCTTTTGCGACTCTCTGGCACACAATTCAACAACGTCTCAAGCAATGATGAAAGACGCCAAAGTGTATCCACCATTCACGTCGCACTAAAGTGTCTCCTCGAGTTTTATTCACCGCCAACGACTGTCAAATAACTTTTCATGTGGTTCTCCATCGTCGCATTTTGCCACATAAATTACATTTTCCACACCCCAGTGCGCGCCTCGCGCCCCGCGCAGCATCCCCCGGTGCAATATTAAATCATTACGCTGTCACCACAGTGACAGGTAGTTTTTGCACCTCATGACACATGGCACTCAATGAATCTCGCATCTCTCAGTGCAATGGATTAAGACTTCTTTCACGCGATGCCTGCCATTGTCAGCGTCTCAATGGCGCAATCTCCACCGATAGAGTCCATTCCGCCCGCCAGCGATCGTCTAATGAATGACACACTGTTTTCGCTCTTGCAGTGGATTCCTACTATGGAAGTCTCCTCAATTTGTCCAATGTGGAACGAAGACAAATGGGAGCTTATCTCTGCATCGCTGCAAATGATGTGCCACCTGCCGTCTCGAAGCGGGTTTTTCTCAACATTCACTGTAAGTATCTCCTGTGTCAGCCGCACTAATCCGGAGGGGTGACTCAGTGGAAAATTGAAACAGGTTTGAAATGCATCAAGATCATAATTCTCTTGAATGGAATGAATACGATGTGGAAATGGCGCGCTTTGGGAAGTGTGACTTGAGGGAGAAAACTATGGTTTCGCGATGAAGTGAGCTCAGACAATTTTGAAGAATGTCAGCAAAATTTTTAATTCGCCTTCAATTAATTTTCGAAGCGTTTGGATTTAAAAGGTATTGAATTCCAAAGAAAGCAATCTATTTTATATTGATTTTGACATTATATTTCAGAGCTTTCTTGCCTCTTTTCATATCTGGGGCATCTAAAAACTGTCATGTTCAATTTAGTGTTTAATCGAATAGAGTAAATTCAGCCTTTTGTTGGTATGCACAATACCCTTTAGTGCGCCAATTAGCAGCCCCTATTTTTTCCACGAATTGCTCCACTCAATTCAATTACCACGAAATGGAGAGAGTCGTTAAGTAAAGATTGCAAAAGTGTGGGCCAAATTGAATGGATGTGTACGGATCTTGATGAATGTCGCTGGATGTGTCGCAGTGGGTGGAGGGCGGATTTATTCTCTCCGGAGCGACCCATTTTGCTCAATGGCACAGACAGACAGATGCAATATTGCAGGCCATTTCTCACTCGGGCACCCTTCGGAGTTCACGGTGGCCCCATTGGCTGACTGTCTCGTCAATTACACGTCAATAATGCCCACTTCACGTTTGTTCTCTCTTCCACTAGTACTAATCACTCGTACATGACTGTTGCATGTGTATATTTGCAGTTGCCCCGCAAATTGTAACACCAAGATCACTGTTCGGCGGCCTGGCGGAGTCAGATGTTGTCCTCGAGTGCATGGTTCAGGCGTCACCCATATCGGTGAACTATTGGATAAAGGGCAGTGCTCCGAAGCGAAACTCGTACGAAACGTTCACTCGACCTGAAATGCTCCTCGACGGGTGAGTCCCATTGTCTGTGGTGATGGTCGGTGTGGAGCCCAGAAGGGGCGGAATTCTGTCACGCATCGACAATTATTTCCGCATTCACAAACGTAGACGAGAGATGGTCCAAGAGGTGGCATTGGCAGCAATTAAGGAAGATGTGCATCTGTACCTAATTCTGAACCAATTAATTTACGGGGTGAGAATCTGGATTTTCGAGAGATGTTATGGCACTTTGTCAAACATTTCTGATATGCATATAGTCTCAACCGTATTGGTTGGCATGGAGTTCAACTGCATAGTGATTACGTCTTCAAATGCCTTTCAGTATAGTGAACTAAAGATATAGTCGTAATTGCAGAAAGCATGCTCTCTCGCTGAAGTCACTTTTAATTGGTGTTTTGCTTTGGTGGCGTCGTGGGCGAGGCGTTGAAGTGGGTGGTTTTTAATTAATTTTCACTTGACGATAAAAAAACATGCACGCATCAGAGCAAAAGGTTCTCTCAGAATCTTCTTTTGTCAGATGTTTTGAGGCCACATTATAATTTTATGTGACAGATATTCTCTACTCTTTGTTAAGTACGACACTCACATAATATTACCTCCATGAGCATAGTTTTTAATAACTTCTTGCATTGCGCTTGTATGACTTTTCACGTTCTCTGCAATAGATCTTTATCATCTCCAGTGTTGTGCGGAGCAAGTGAGATGTTTTCATACGTGAGCAAATCCCTGTGGAGCCTGAGAGTCTGATAGTGTAAGCTGTGAGTCAATGGACCCCTATATTATGCCTTAATGCGGCGCCTTTTATGTGGCTCCGCACACACACTGGGCGGCACATCAATGTACATTTCCGCTACTTGGTTGCATTCCGTCCCTTCTGCGGTGGCATGACCAAAATCCCACACCAGCTGAAGTACCTTTTGTGTTTCACCACATAAATGTTAATTATTGCGTACATTGCACAGGAAAAAGCATCACATATCCGAAGAGAAATTGTCCCCATACGAGTTCCGGCTAAAATTGGTCGTCCGCAATTTCAGTCGATCCGATTTAGGAATTTACACTTGCATATCGACAAACTCACTGGGCAGAGCTAATGGAACCATTCGAATTTATGGTAATTATAATGAACAGTATCTTTGCAGCTGATGGAATTAAAATACATCGCAGCATTCCAGCCTTTCTCTCGCTATCAATCTCAATTCTCTGGTCATGCGGGGAAAATTCATGGCTGGAATGCTTTATTGCTGCAGTGCATCAACGCCATTGATAATGAGGAAGAAGCATTTCAATGCTTGTCAATTTTACCATTGCAGAAATCAAAATTCCCACGACCACAACAACACCCAAGCCGACAACGACAACGCCAAAGCCCACAACAACGAGGCCCACAACGACTTCCACCACACCGATCCCGACGCCGCCGCCAGAAACGTTCACAGAAACAACAACGCCCGGTAAAGTTTCCACACTTTCTATCCATCTCCCAGCAGCCACCCTCCCGCCGAGGGGCTAATAACCCACGAACTCGAGCACAGAATCTCAATATTCGAGCGCTGAGAGGGCAAAATGGGAGAGCGTAGTCACGCAAAGCTTTTAGCTGCTCATTACCCACTTACACTTGACTTTCCTTTTCTCGTGCAGTTTATTCACACCAAATATTAATTAATTGAGTTTTACGGCGTGATTAATTATAGTGCTTGATGAAATACGACCGGCGACGTGAAACTTCGAGAGGAAGTTTCCGTGGCATTGCCATTAAAGGGCATTTTTACTGAACATCAAAACACAGCCAAGCTTTGACCATAAATGATTTCCTCTCCGATAAGTGCATTTGTCTATACACTCACTTTATTTTATATATTGAATATGAACTGGAATAATATAGTGTTTATGTTGTGCGAAATAGAATAGTACAGCATATGAAAAATATTTATCAAACAGCTTTAGTTATACTATTCTATGCACACTGGCGATTAATAGGGCAGTAAAATTCATCAAATAATCCGACTTATTGTTCAGCCGGAATTACAATCATAAGTCGATTTATAGTGTTTTTGTGCATTGTGAATAGGAAATTTAATTTGAGAACCATTTCCTATAATAATGAATGCATTTTGATTTAGTGATTCCCGTTAAATCCATTGTAGTGCATTTTAGAAACACTCAGCAAAATGCGCAAGGAGAATTCCTAGTATTAAGTGAGTTAGTTTTATTTACAAAGTTCATATTCCATTCAGGAATGCCATGTGCAGCAGGTATAGAATTTATACGTAATCCTGTAGCTTTTCTCCTGCACTGGAGTGTCAAGTTGAAAGAGAGCTTTGATCGAGGATGCTGGAGTGATTCCATTAGAGACGACTTCCCTCTCAGCGAGGCGTTATTAGCCCCTCGAAAGCGCGCTTTGGTATGCAAAAGGGCGCGCATCCGTGAATATTGCGAGCGAGCGAGTGAGCCGTGTTGTGTAACTGCTGCGATATCTCCTTGACAGAGTACCCTACATTTTTCCCAGTGCACGAGGACCCGTACGGAGGACACGCCGAGGCCAATCAGCCCCTGCATGACATCATGTACTCACAGAGTGGCGACTCGGGCGGCAGCACTCCCATGTGGGTGGTGCACTGCGTGGTGGCGGCCGTGATGCTGCAGGCCCTGCTGATTGCCATCAGATGACTATGACGCTCGCGGGAGCAGGCGGATTAGGATAAATCGTAGCGCAGGGTATTTCGGCGGGCGGACTGTGGGTGGGTGAGATGAGGATCGGCGAGACACTGGAGCCTCATCCTCTGGGTGATTGCCAAGTGAGTGTTTTTCACGGCGTCCCGGGCAGATGCCATTAAATTGAAAAATGTTCTTCTGATTTTTTTATTGTACATAACGCGGAGCGATGGAAAGCGTGTGTCCACACGTGAGTCTCACACTTCAATCGCTCTACTATGGCCTCAAAATTAAGAAAAAAAAGAAAAATTAGTGGCGGAGCCGTTGCAGGACTCTCGCGATTCCCCGGATGCACTTTATTTGACATGCATTAATGAGAGTAATTGTTAATATCATGCATATACATTTTAGGTGAGAATCTAAGAGGTAGATAGATGATATATTTCTTATAGGGCGTGGGATGCGATAGGGCCACTGGGTGTCAGCTGAACAGGGGGTGGTGAAAGAGATGCCAAGATTGAGTGACTCGGGACGTCTTCGTGCAATCCCCTTAAGCCAAGTCCTGGAAATCTACAAACTGATAATGGACCAATTCTCCGTCTGCTAGCCCGTGAATTTGGGTCTCAAATCAATATTTTCCCAATTACCAGTGGTAGAATTTTCTGACTTTATCTCCGCACAGGTGGAGTTTGGCAGGCCGAAATGAATTAAATATTTTCACTCAATTTAACCAGTAGGAAATTTCCTGCCTAATTACATCGTGAATAATACATGCGAAGACAATGGCGAAATAAATCCACGTGGCGTTTCTGTTTATCTCTCTCTGGGTTTGCAATTAGGAGCTTCTTAAGCAAATGATTATGGATATCTAATTTCCATCTCATGCGAATCCACCTCGACTTACTCTTTCTGGCAACTCCGCAAAGATACAATCTCGAAGTTTTGTGGTATCAGTTGTACACAGCAGACAACATTTTGGTCAAGACACGCGGGGGTGAAGGACATCGTGAGAAGAATGGAGCAGAAGGAGAAGGTTCGCTGCCAGTGTACTGCATGTACTCGGTGAGACAAAAGGGTATTAATCATGTTTTAAAGTTCAAAATTTAAGGTGAAATGCGGAGTATTGAAATTTCGTGCACATCATTTATATTACGAGAACAACAGCGAGAATTCTAGAGATACCATTTGATTCACATGCACGATGGCGAGGGAGATTGAGTGAGGGGGAGAGAGAGTCTATCCTGAAGCAGGAAGACGAATGTGCAGTGGCATTGTTGGAATCCAAGAATGTACTATATTATCAGTATTAATAATAACCAATTGGAGATGATAAATGTGCGGAAGGAAGTTGTAAATATAAGTCTACAATGTTGTAATAAAGGAAGATATATCAGACTTCATAACTTTGTTCTTTCATTAATTCACTTTTATTAGCCACTCCTCGGTTGTTGAAGGAAATTTTTCGTGTCTGCGACGAGAAAGAATCCGCCTCGTGAGTCAACAGTCCCATCAAGCACTTTAAGACGTCGCCCAGAACCACCCACCCGATTAAACTGCTTCGCCTCCTTTGCGGGTTAATTTCCCAATACGCCAAGGGGTTGAAGTTGCTAAGTAAGTGCGGATATTAATTTTCATCAAACAGAAACTGTTGAGTTTCTTGAGTCCAGCAGCCTTTTTCAAACCAAATTACTCTGTCACCATCATTCATATCAGTTTAAATATTGACGTACGATTTTATCACTGCGAACAACCCCTTGCCATCGAGCCACTCGGCTGGGCTTTTCAACTGGAGGGAAAAGTTTCTCTATTTGCCATGTGAATTGGTTGGCGGTAATTATCGAAGCGGGCTCCCATATTTATTTATTCTCCAAGAGCCAAATGAGAGAAAACTTGTCCCACTTGTGACTATGACTACAAGTGCGACTCCGCAGAGAAAATCAATGCGGTTCGGTATCCAACGGATGTCCAGGAATTTCATACATTTCACCATTAACTCCACACATCAACTCGAGCGTGGAGCATCGCCCAGAGGAATGTTGATGGTAAATATTTTACGAAATTACCAAGATAATGTGGTGGGAATTTTCCGCATCACCTGAAAATTAATTCTGTAAGTTTTTCAGTTAATATGGACTTCTACCTACATATAACTGAATATGTAAATAAAGAGAATTTTAATTAACGTCTCTATATGGAGCATATTTTCGCAATATTAAAAACTGCACTCGCTTTGTGCGGGTGAACAGTGAGAAAAAAATGTTGTGTATAAAATGCAAAAAAGCTTGCAAAAAAGCAAAATAAAGTTGTTGTATAGTTTATATATATTTGTTCTGGAAGGTTATACACCTCTATCCACCATTTCATCGTGCGGTACGAGCAATTTCCTAGGTCTTGTGAAGAGTCTTGTGAAAATTTTAGAGAATCCCCTTCAGTATTAATGCAATTCTAGAGAAATTGGGAAGCCCAAATGGAACTCTGGGTGGTCATAAATGCGACATCGTGTTAGTGCCATCCGGAGTGAACACATTACCTCCTTCCTCCGGACCATTGAGGCACTGCAGGAGGAGATTGAGGCACCTTTGCCATGGGAAGTACTGCACACGATCTTCACCTCTTAAGTGACTCCCAAGGGACCTGCGCCACTCCTGGAGCACACAATTTCTGAAACACAACACCATCGAGCGCAAATTCCATTGGCTGTGCCTTTTTTCCAGCACAAGAGAATGCACGATGAGACAGACATCAAGCATATGGGCCAATCGACCGGTGCTCTTTCTTCCATCGCACTCAGCTTCTTTATTACACTCTCTGGCTCCGTCCAAGAAAGCACACCATCAGCAAACCAGCGATGTGAGCGAGTGTTGGAATTCGCACACTTGCGTACACTATATCAATTGGCAGCCGAATTGTTTATTCATAGATAGCGAGTCGAGTGTGGAGCTTTCACTCACACTCGTCTCGCTTAATCCCGCACGCTTGGCTTAAGTCCGTCTCACTCACGCGCACTTAATCGCGATTTCTTTGACACATCAGCTCTGTTGATTCTCCAACTGTTTCGATGCGCAAACAAATCCACCCATATGCCCTCTTATCACGCCACTTAATTACCTCCCAACTACGCGTTCATCTCAGAAGACGATGTTCTGTGCGATAACGTGATTTCAAATGATGTTCCAGGTCGGCGGGTCGCGGTTTTAGGCGCACGAACCTACATGTGGCTCGTTGGTCTAGGGGTATGATTTTCGCTTAGGGTGCGAGAGGTCCCGGGTTCAAATCCCGGACGAGCCCACTTTTTTACACCCACGCCCAATCCCCTCACCCTGTCCAAGTGGGTTAATGAATATTTTTACTGCCCGATAAAGGGCAAATTTGCGCGAATGTTCGCAATGTCAATAAATAACGGGGCAAACACTGGCCGTCACTGTGGAATATTGAAGCCGGATTTTTGTCGGCTGAAATATGAATGCATATATCAGTAAAGTTTGATTCAACAATAATTTTCGCCCACTTTATTCCCCACGGCACGACATTCGACAGTTTCTTTATGCGGGTGACTCGTCGTAAAATTCGCCCATTTGTCGATATGGAAATGCTTCTTTTTCCGGTCACCATCTGTGCTAGTCTTATATACAAATAACCTTAGTCAAAATCACTCTTGGCTCTCTTCACCTCCACCCCAGCAGGCAGATATTTACTCTGGCTCCCTCGCAAGAACTTCCCCGTGGAGGGGCAGCGGATACACTCAGAGAATGCGAGCTCTGACAGCGAAATCTACGCTTTCTCTACACACATTTGAACTGTTTTCGGAAGAAATCGATCAAATTAAAAGCAGTGGTTTCAGCAATTATCGGGTAAAGTGCATTTGCGTAAAGTGCTATTGTCTCAAATGAACCCATTATGAGGACTTTCAATCTTATTCTTCCCACTCATTTTCCGCGAAGGATCATTAAGTGCAGGAAAATTCTAACACTGCATGTTGAAATATTTTATATGTCTTTCAGTGAGATGATGAATTTTGTGTGATTGTGCAATAATTCACTTCAGCGCACTTGCCTAGATGCTAGAGAGTGCAAGAAGCATGAAATTTTGGCAACAGAAGCACAAGAATGCGCCCAGTTCGTTACTCAACACATAATTGGCCATCAATTCTGAGATTTTCAGATCGATGGATACTTCAATCGTGACAACAATAAGTTATGCTTCAACTGGGAGCTTCAACAGATCAAATAATAACGAGTGGGAAGAATATGTTCACATTTGGCACGATAATAGGGGAACGATATTGATTATCTGACGGAGTTCGAAAGTTATTGCGGAAATATTGAATAGTTTCATTTCCTGTCATAAATTCACTTCAAAAGATTGCAATGACTAAGCAATCATTTCTAGAGGCTATGCAAAAAACACTTTTGTAGCACACACTTGAAAGGAGACAGTTTCATTTCTCTGGGTGTAAATATTCATATATGGTAGAGCTTGAAAAATGAAAAAGTGACAGAAACAACAAATTTTTCTCGGTGCTCCACTTACCTTTTTCTACTTTTCCCACATCCCATTCTCACACGGAATATTTGCAACACTTTTATATCATTTCGCAAAAAGCTGCGCAGTGTGGAAATGGATGGAAATTCTAGTTGATTTCTCACGCTTGACTTGGGGAGAATGTAGGCGATTTATTTCCCTGGTCTTTTAATCAAATTTAAGCAGCAAAGCCCGAAGGATGGCAGTCGAGGAGGACGAGGGAAGGAGTGCTAAGCTGGAGAAAGCATTCTTGGGACAGACGATCAGGAAGAAATATTGAGAATTCCGGGGAAATTATGCGCTGGTGAGAGAGCGACAGAAATTGGACAAACCGGAATTTATAACTAAATGGCTTATTTGTGAATTTTATTTGCCCTGGATTGGGGTGACCTCTCGTCGCCATGGCCGGAGAGACGAAGGAAAAAAGGCATTGTAGCAGACCATAGAAAATACCCCTCCGGTATGTGCAATATGTACAAATTCATTCCCGTGTTTTGAATACAAATTGATGTTTGTACAGCATTGTGGGAGTGTGTAATTTTATTTGTTTGCAAACTGGGGCTCGGCGAGAGGGTGCGAATAAGTTTTTCCCAAGTGTTGAGGGGCGTAAAAATGTGACGAGGGTTAATGGGGTTTTTATTATCATCCCGGATGACGCTTCTCTCGGGGCATCGCGCAACTTTCTGAGCGGACCACCAGTCTGCGGGGAACTGAGACATTGGGTTGTGCTGCGAGAGTCGAGGGAAGCGGAAAATTTCAGCATGGTTTTCCGATAATCGCTATTTAAGTACTGGGCACACTTCTGTCTTCCCTCCACCTCCGCAACCGTCATCAGCGGATCTGTGAAGTAATCTCGACGCCGGGTAAGATTTTATCCGGGAATATAGTCAAATTGTGCTTCGAGAATGTAGATTTTGTTTATGCTAAAATTGCTACCGGTTCTGACACATTGAAAGTACTTGTTCAGTTGCCAATTTGTAACACATGTTCTTAGGGAGAATCAATAAGTTTTCCCGAGAAGGGAAGCCCCGTATGCGATGTAGTTTTTCCGCTCCTTGGCTGCCGCCAACACACTCCACCACAATCTTGAGCATCTGCTTCTGAACTATATCAGCCCGTATTGATCACTCTCCGCCACGGAATGCTTAATTAAAACAATCAGTGTAGTTTTTCATACCTCGGATAGCAGCAATATTCTCCAGTGAAAGTTCCAGACTGTTGGACTTTTTCTCTCTTTCTCCCGATTGAATTTAACGAGGAAATCTCATCTTGGGAGAGGTATAAACTTTCATAAGAGGATTAAATAATGAGGACAGACGTCACCTTGGTAACCTTATGAAAAATTCATAAGCCCAAAAGTTTGAGCTACGCGCCGAGACTTGTGAAGAAGTTTTCCTTAAATGTTTGGAGAAATCTATACACCGGAAGCCAATGTTGAGATTTCACAGAAAATGTCTCAGAACCTTTTTTCCTCTCACACTGTGAGGATGTGCACTTGCTTGGGTTTGGGTACTCAACAGATACTCGCACACACACACACATGTGTCTTGTCGATTTAATTTGTTTTTCTGCCTTCAATTCCATCCATATGGATAAAATATTTAAAGGGGGCGATCGGAGGCAAGTGGAGGAAAACACCCTTATTGAGTGGAACACCCACAAGTTTATTGAAATTTGTCAGAATCGGACACTCTTGGGCAACTTTTTCCACCCATTCACATATGCGAAGCCAATGAGAGGTTCAGCCAGTCAGAGAGAGAGAGAGAAAGAAGAGAACGAGAGAATGTTTCCCAATAGCCCCAAAGTAGGTAGAAGCACTAAAAATGTATTTGATGGGAAACCATAGAGGAAGATCAACTT